TCTTTCAACGAGGTGACCACCGATAGAATTTTACAAGCTCCGACAAGTTTCCTATTCAGTTTGTCATTTTGAACTGATCGGTGTGGTTGTTTTGTTGATATTATTCGATAGTATCAGTATGAGCAGCCGTACAAAACGAATTGCGGCCTTGGCTATGGCAAAAAAAGACGATGGTGACTCTCTTCACAAATATTTGGTAAAAGAATTTTCAGTCATTGTTTTCAACAGATGATAATTCTGAGTCCTCGAGTGATCCTTTTGCGGACGATTCGTTCGATGATCCTGGGTATCTACCAACAGGAAGCAGCCAAGATCTTACTGAAGATAGTGAGTTTGAGAGTGGTCAATCTCAAAGATTCCCAAAGGCAACCACGATTCATCTCAGCAAGTCGCAGATACCACGATGAATGCTGAAGGTGTGATTCATTCAGAATTCAATATGAGTCAATCAGATGATGAGATGAATACAGAAAATGTTGAAAAACAAATGTCACCTCAAGATTCACACAATTCTGTTTGGGATATTCCAAGAGGAGGGCATTCACGTTTTGAAGAAACATTTGTGGGAGGCATAAATCCTCAATATCATGCAGGAAGTAGACCTATCGACTATTACTTGGCTTTCGTGGATTGGAATATAATTGACATAATAGTCGATGAAACCATTACTTATGCCACCCAGATGCTTTCGGAAGATGAGACTATATCTAACAAATCTCGAATACATGCGTGGAAACCCACCAATCGTAAAGATATAATTCATTTGCTAGGTCTTCTTAGTTATATGGGCATTGTTCCGTTGAATTCATTCAGAGACTATTGGTGTACAAAGTCGATTTTCCGAAACGAGGTTGCCCCAAGCGTAATGAGCCGAAATAAATTCGAGTTATTGAAAATGCTCCACTTCTCTGACAACAATCTGTGTCTGGAAGAAGATCGCTTATATAACATTCAGCCATTGCTTGATAAGCTCATCAAAAACTTCCAAGCCATATACACACCCTCCAAAACGTTCTGTATAGACGAAACCATGATTTCAGGGAAGATTGTTTTTCAGACAGTATAATCCACAGAAAACCCATAAATATGGTATCAAATTGTGTTCAGAAAAAGGATATACTTGGAATATAAGCATATATGCAGGCCAACAGAACAAAGAAAATCCAATATTAGCATCCACAAAAATTGTTTTAGATCTGGCACATGATTTCTTAGAATGCGGCAGAGTATGTGTCACCGATAATAGGTATCTTAAATATGGGTTTGTTATGATGATTATCAATAAGTAAAAATGTCGAAGACTCCATATAACGTTGTGATTTAAAGATGAAACAATAAAGACTGACTGATTACAATAACGTTTTCTTTATTTTTTCCCCAAAAAATAATCCCTGTAATGAAGATTCGGTTTCGGCCGAAACTGAGACCGTTGCCGAAATTCGGTTTTGGTTTCGGTCGGACACTAATACTAATAAATCAATTTGTGTGTTTGCAAATTTGTCCACAACCCTTAGAATGTGCCTCACATCTTCAATCAAAACTGGAAATGATAAATTCATCAATATTGAACACAAAAAAGAATTGAAAGTGAGTGAAATTGTCAGATTTTGCTAGTGCAAAAGCACGAATAGTACATTTTTTTAAATTATACTTAGTACTATGAGTATCCTAATAACGATCCGTAAGTAGCTATAAAGTTGTCCTTTATTATTTGTAACCCACTCTTTCCTAAAAAATACTTTTCACTCATTTTTTAGGTAGTTTGAAATTATTCAAATAGATATTTGATGTCATTCACGAAATATTTCATCAAGAACATATGGTTGCATTCTGGGGTGAGCATACACTTTAAGGCAGCGAAGGTGTTAAGCCATTCACATTACATTTAGGTGTTAAATCACCTAAATGTAACGTGAATGGCTTGTTGTAATCACACAAAAATTCAACAACTTATAAAATGAATTAGTAAGTACCCATATTGCACTATGGTGAATGAATACTAATTACTAATTCATCTGCATTGAGAGGCCAGCTTCAGAAAAAAGTATTTCGCTGTACACACTGCTGCAAGGTGTAGGAAGATAGATGCACTGCAATCAATACAATAAGTCAATGAATGAAACAATTTGTTGACTTCGCTTATCAACGAAAAGATCCGAATTAGACGTCAATATCGTTCGCACGGCGCCTACGTAAACGTGCTTCTTTCGATGCGCTAAATGGCAACGTTACGCCGGATATTCCATAGCCGAACATCCGGCTGCAATGTTGGCCAAATATCTGGCTGGATTGCTATCTTTTTATATCTATAAAAAATATCTACATTGACAGAGACATATTGAAAGGTTTTTGCGAATGACTGTTGAAGAAGATAAGCAGAAGATGGCTCCTTATACTGTCGTTTCATTGCGGCTCCACTGCACATACGATAACAATAGGAGAACGTTTGTTGAATAGTGATAGCTTCATCTCGTGTCTTACATGATACTATAACCATAAAGATATGATCAATTGGGCGACGAGAATTGGACCTCTGCGCGCACGACGTCATCGCGTGACAAAATGCATTAGTACGCCTCAGCGAAGCATGGATTTTATATGCAATTTGGATTAATTTCGACGATTTTTACAACATTGTAACTATTTTGTAACCGATAATTTTATGAGATTGAATGTAATAATGGAAAAATCAGTCTATATAATTTAAATTGCTTTACAGAGGCAAATTTTAATTTTTTGNCGTGCACTAACGTTATCAATAATTCGCAATCCATGTTGTCACTCTGAAAACACTAGAAAATGCAAGCTAGTCGTACGAACACCTATGAAAGAAACAAAATATTTTGGTCGTATGGAAATCACGTACGAATTCGTAACAAATGGTCGTATATAATATAACCACAAACATGTCAATAAGAGCATTTGTTCTCTTCCGACGTTTTCTTATGAATTCGTACGACTACATTTTCGTACGAATTCGTATCCAATGTTTTCCTTTCCTGGACCTCTGAGTAATGATATAAATAGAGATGCCTTTCTGTTCTTGTTTCTGAAGCCAAATAATTTCTCTACTGAGCCTGGGACTCGAATAATTTCATTGCGGTCCCACTGCACATACGATAACAATAGGAGAAAGTTTGTTGAATAGTGATAGCTTCATCTCGTGTCTTATATATTATTGCCTCTATAATACAAAATCAAAAAGAAATTTAGTTCTCTTCGGTTTTTGAATATTTAGTTTGAGAAGCAGCTCCATGGTTTCACTCTAAGATGAGATTAGCAATACTGATAGATAACGAATAAATTTTGGCAAGTTCAGAGTTGCAATTTACTCGACGGTAGCGGCGTATCGGATTTGAACATAAAGTAGCGGAATTTTCCACAAATAATCAATATTGAAAAAATATGGAAGAAGAAGAGGCAGTGGATAGCACTCGAAGCTGTCTTATAAATCATATAACCTCCAATATCTTGAAAGTAAATAACTAAAAGTCTCGAGTATTATAAATTATATGGAACAAATTACAGTGGAAATGGAAGATAGTTCATCTGATTATAGCTCGAGCGAAAGGGCTACCGCAGTTTTAATTGACGGGAACGGAACATGTTCAAAAATATACAAAAAATCTCGAAAACAAACTTTTTCTCAACATTGGTTATCTGATTCCAAATTAAAAGGATGGATAAGATTTGTTGTGAATAATCGTTCAAGAGCTCAGTGTGACTATACGTACGTGAGCAAATTGATATTCATTTTTACTTTTCAAAATCATCATTTCAAGGTAAGAAATATTTGGTCGAGACGACAGCTTTTGAAAATTAACTGCTGTAAATTTATGAAATTAGGTACCATCTACTGAGTTGCATGGTTGAAAATTAGCATGATCCTGATTCCTGACATTAGTGACAGTTCAGTTTTGTGGTATCTGAACCACAAACTACTTAAGTTTTGTCTGGTCAGTAATTGGACGCGGATTTTGAAAAAACTGGTTACTCATCACCGAACCAATAGCATTGCTATTGATTGAGATGCAATGAAGCTTAGATTAGGTAAAAGAGGGGATACATAACGCCAACCTCTGCGTACGAATCGAGTTTGTGACCAATTTCCGAGTGGCCGCCATATTGTTGGTGCTAAACATTGATCTTGGTGCTTGTTCGATTTTGTGCAATTATTGAGTGTATTTTGAACTATTTTGTGGGTGAGTACTGTATAAACATGGTGAAGTGCTCATCTTACTATTGTAGTAGTAATAGCGAGAAAAAGGAAACCGGTATATCATTTCACAGNATAAAATAATTTGGAGACACGAATCAATATTTTAAAATGAACAATTTGTATTTCTAGTATTTTCCTTATATAATAATCACCAGCTACCCTGGAAACCTAGAAGGATGCTAAGTGGGTCACCTACATGATATTGACATTTCAGGAGGGTAAAAAACGTTATGTGAACGTATTACTAAAAAAGAATAAAAAGATTGGAGTAACAAAAGTAAATTGATGTTTGGATAGAACTCACCTATGTATATTTATTAAAAAAAACATTTATGTTGAAAAAGAATTCATTCTAAAATGCAAGGAGAACGTCAATTCTTATAATAAAGAACAAGCAATTCAACTGAAAGGTTAATTGGTTATATAAAAAATCACATTTATTTTAAGACAGGTAGATCATGAAGTTTATACCAAAAAGTTGATTGCTGGACAATTTCTCTTTCATATTCCAGTTGATTGAACCATTGTATTCCTACTGGTGATTTTAGAAATAATTCGGCTGTTTTGACATTTAAAAAAAATAATGTAACCAGATAGAATGTCTGCACAAGAATTATTATATCAATTGAATTTGGGTCCATTCCGTAAGGTATATCAAAATTATATGAGCATTTTGGATATAAAAAAGTTTGAGTGCGAACCTGTCCAAAACCATTTCGCGAGTCCTGCCCTCTTATCGTCACTTCCCAAAATGGCGTCTAATACTTTTCCACATCAAAAGCGGCATCGGCGTAGCCAAGTGTCCATGCTGATTGGTACCTATGCTGTGGTTCGGTTTAATTCTACAGATTGTGAGGAAAGTGACCCAAAGATAAGTAGAGACTAACAAAATTTGTTAGTGGATTTGTTAAACAAATCCACGTTTTCTCCAAATATTTTTTGAAAATTGAACTAGATAATGACTACTGAAAATTGTGGAAGACTAATTAAACAGGAGAAGGAGGAATGTACTGCAGTCCAAATGATTATCTCAAAGTATGAATCAGAGCCAGAACAAGTCAAAAGTGAAAATATCATTGAAGTTAATCATGATTTGAAATGTGAAAGGTATTCAGAAGTAAAAGGAGCCTTACACTGTGAGGTATGTGGAGGAGGTTTGCTTAGTCCAACTGATTTCTTCAGCCCTGATCATTCAAAATTCTGTTATAACTGTCAATGCCAGAATGGGTCTAATACTATGCAAGACGAATATATGACTGTGGATTTGAAACCACTTACTTCAGGTAACACATTTATTTCATATATTTTTCAACAAAATTTTGTTCTAAATCCTTGTAGAAAATTATATCTGACGAACTTACTGCAGTGATTTGAGATGATTCAAGTAACATTTCATTGTGAAACTAGCGGACCCGGTGAACGTCGTTTCGCCTAACAGTCGATGAATGAGCAGATTTAGGATTTTAAAGTTGATACAAAATTATTAAGTATAATAAAATAAATGGTATTGGTATATAATAAATGGGGATTGGTAGTAAGAGGACACTCTTCAGTAAAGCACCCTGTGATACACATGTGAGCAAATAGTTGTGTTTATTATAACATGTCACCATTATCACTGATGTTTTGCCACTTTTTTATTATTATTTTTATTGATGAGATATCATATTTCAATACTCATTGTCCCATTCCCGAAGAAGACAAATTAGTTTTAGGGAGACTAACGAACTGCAATTCATATTTATGCATTAGATTTTCACAGTTTCACATAGTTTCAAAACCCAAAAAAGTTCACTTGCGAACAACATCACAATTTCAAATGGCTATATTTCCTTTGACACAAGTCCAAAAAAACACGGTACGAAGCAATATAATAATTCTTCGAAATCATCTTCATAGAAATCGTCGATAGGTTATTGAAATAAATATTGAATAATATCATTTGGGCATGATGAAATTCCACCCGTATAAAATTATTATTGATCGTCTTTAATGTGAATATATAATAAATCCTATTATCTAAAAGAAAAAAGTTTTTGGACCGACATCTATAAGAAAACAACTACCCCCCTGGCTAATACCACGAAGGGCGTTGGATTATATCCGACAGGTGCCAGTGCAAGATTCTTCACAGAAGTAATTACTGCTTATGCTGTTGGCGATACAATTGCCGGAATCGATTTTCAATTATTGGTTTCGGATTATTTGGCCACTCGTCAGTGCAAGGCAGTGTACTACATCAACAAGGAGTCGATGATTTCCGATAATTAAAAATCGAATTCCTTTCAGAATATTATTCCTTGAACTAGGCTGAAGCAAACGACAAAAACAACATATTTCTCATCTGTCGAGGTAGTAACCAACTGTTTGAAAATCTGTTTCAAAATATGTTTTTCCGTTAATCAGCTGTCGCCCCCATACAAACGACAACTCTGAGAAGTTGAGAAACTTGTGCGAGCAAAGGACTAACGAGGTCTTACCTTTTAACGTGTGATTCCTAACACGGCACAAATCCTCGTATAGCGACAAAAAATATGGTATGGAGGCATATTCGAAGACTTGCTTTAAATCAAATTATTTGAAAGAACAATTCGTTCTGGCTAGTCTTTCCTTACCTACATAGTAGGTAGAATATAATCCGAATCCCTTCGTGGTATTAGTCAGGGGAGTAGTGGTTTTCTGATCGGTGTCAGTCCATAAACCTACTGTGTAGGTAGTGGAAGACTGACCTGAATGAACTGTTCCTTTGGATAATTTGATTCAAAGCCAGTATTCAAGTATTGCCGCCCACCTACTGCAGGAAAAATAATAACTCATAGTTTTCTAGGTTCTGTAAAGGGGTTGTTAGTCAGATCACAACTTGAATATGGTTCAATTATTTGGTCACCAGAGTATAACGTTCATAAGTTATTACTGAAGAAAGTACAAAATAAATTCTTGAGATATTGTGATTATAGTTTTAATCTAAATCTCATTGCTGATCATGAGTATAGTCTTATTCTCCTTACACTGGATAAAAGAAGGATTATGTTTGACATTTCTCTCATTCATAAAATATTAAAAGGAATTGTATCATGCCCATCTTTGCTTTCTCAAATGAATCTTGCAGTTCCACAAAGAATGCTGAGGCTTTGTAATTTATTTTCCATTAGTTTTCACAGAACAAACTATGGTAAATTATTTTAAGGTTAGATCTCGTAGAGTTTCTAAATAGAGAGAATAGATTGGATAATAATAATAATAATTGATTGGCCATTGGTTGTCATTTTCGGATTTGAGAGTGTGTTCTATAACCGTGTTAAATCCTTGCTCATTGAAAAATGTTACTGTAGTCGCCAAAATACCTAAATGACAATTTAATTTAGTTATTTTCCGAATAAGTCTAATGTGAATGTCATAAATGTTATTTATTAGTGTTATAGTATGCTTTTTGTTTTTAATTAACCTGCCATATATACATATTGTACCCATTGTACATATTGTACCCATATTTTTAATAATTCGTTTCAAGCCTTTGTGTTTACATATTTATAAGTATAAGTTGACATGTTCGATACCATGTAGTTGGTCCATGAATGAATAAATTTCTTTCTTTCTTTCTTTAAGAATACTCTACTAATGATAATTTGAAGTGTTATAATTGCTGTTATACTAGACTGTAGGTACCTAAGTAATTTTAGAACTTCATTATCATTATTTTGTGATTTGTTGTTATTTTTTTAATAAGTTGTTGCGGAGTGAGTACCTACTTGAATAAAATTGAAGTAATTCAAAAATACTTTCTAAAAATAATTATGTTATTAAGCATATATTTTGAATTTATGTATTGATTTACTTTCTTTTTTTTTTGCATATGTGAGATTGTATTTATAAAGATGTATCTGTTTTTATGACTTTCCTTGGCACAATTTTTACTTTTCAAGGTTATTACTAGTTAATTTAGAAGTTTGTTTATTATTATTATTATGTGTACAATTCCATAAAAGACATAATGTTATAAGTAAAATTTTAAACCTCTAACGTAAAATGAATCTTTTGAAAAAAGTTTTTTCATGCTAGAACAATAATACTGTCTCTCAACGTGCCTTTCACTAGCCAAGTTGACACCATCAGTTGACGACAGTCAATTATTTTTGTTCTGGTGTGTAAAAAATGTTTTTATAAGATTGTTGGATAAACATATAAATGAGATTTAGAAGTATAGTTTATTCTGTTTTTGTGTTCTCAGAGGGATGTCAAATATGAAAGGTTTGGGAAGCGGCTTATCATCGATACTGGTGAAAATCCTTGTTAATGTTGAATTCTGTGGCATTTCAACTGAAAAATGTTATTTTTCTTGAATACTTTGATTTGAAAATAATATGTTTCTCGTGACCTCTATCATAAATGTAACTGTGTACTGAAATGAATTGCTCTAATTACTATTCATTAAATTATTTTTTACAGATCCTGGAATCCCTCTTTTTAAAACCCAAGAAGAAACAATTGTTGATAAGGAAGAGAAGATAATCAATGAAAATATGTCAAGCGAAAAAGAATATGCTTTTGAAAGTGTTTATTTTGTTGAACAGAAAATATTACGTGAAACAGAGGAAATTACTGAAATACTTACTTCAAGTTCAATTAGAGAGTGCAGAATTCGTGAGGAAAATGAAGTCTGTCCAAAAAATTTGAATGAAAGAACTGATGTTGAATCTGTTGAAAATAAGTATATAGGGAAGATCCCACATATAATTTGCAAAAGTAGCTTGAAATTGCATGAAAAAATTCTTGCTAGCAAAAAACCATTTCAGTGTAAAATTTGCTCTAAATCTTTCATCCATAAAAATTATTTGAAACATCATGAAAAAATTCATACTGGTGAAAATCTGTATCAGTGTAAAATCTGCTCTAAATCATTCCTTCACTGTGATCATTTGAAAAGACATGAAAAAATTCATACTGGTGAAAGACCATTTCAGTGTAAAATGTGCTCTAAATCTTTCATTCAAAAAGTTCATTTGAAACATCATGAAACAATTCATACTGGTGAAAAACTGTATCAGTGTAAAATCTGCTCTAAATCATTCACTCGGTATGATAGTTTGAAAAGACATGAACGAATTCACAATGGTGAAAAACCGTTTCAGTGTAAAATCTGCTCCAAATCATTCATTCAAGGAAGTGATTTGAAAAACCATGAAAAAATTCATACCGGTGATAAATCGTTTCAGTGTAAAATCTGCTCTAAATCATTCCTTAACTGTGATCATTTGAAAAGACATGAAAAAATTCATACTGGCGAAAGACCATTTCAGTGTAAAATCTGCTTTAAATCATTTATTCAAGGAGGTGATTTGAAAGGACATGAACGGATTCATACTGGGGAAAAACCATTTCAGTGTAGAATCTGCTCTAAAACATTCGCTCGGTGTGATAATTTGAAAAGACATGAAAGAATTCACACTGGCGAAAAACCATTTCAGTGTAAAATCTGCTCTAAATCATTCATTCAGGGAAGTGATTTGAAAAAACATGAAAACATTCATACCAGCGATAAATCGTTTCAATGTAAAATCTGCTCTAAATCATTCTTTAGCAAAAGATATTTGAAAATACATGAAAAAATTCATACTGCCGAAAAACCGTAGTGTAAAATGTGTCAATGCGGTCCTTTGAAACGACATGAAAAAATTCATACTGGCGAAAAAGACTTCAGTGTAATATTTGAATTAATTCAGTCAGTATAATAATTCGAAAAGACATGACAATGATTATTAGCAAATATCCATCTTAGTGTAAAATCTGCTCAAAATCATTCATTGAGAGACCTAACTTGAAGTTGAATGAACAAATTCATACTGCTCAAAGTCATTCACTCAAAGTAGGCCATTGAGAAATGAAATAGTGGGCATTTACCAGAAGGACATGAGTTCAACCATGAATACAAGCCCCTCCATTTCCAGAAGAAAGGTTTAAAACTTAACCTGTTGGAGAGTATGGAAATAAACAAATTTAAAAACTCTCAATATCTTATGAACTATCAAACTAAATTGAATAATTCGACATTATTGAATCTATTCATTTGCAGGTAAAAATAGTTGAGAGTAGATTTACAGGTAAACTTTAGAAAAATTTATTGATATAGTTAATGAATTCATACCTGACTTTTTCAGGTATATTAATTCATTAGGCAGACGAGTAGGTCATAGGTTAGAGTATAAAATGGTTGTAATTTAGAAGTAAGTTTCAGTTTATGCTTGAGGAAGCTATTGTATAGCGAAACACGTGTCGCGGTTTTTGTAAAATCCTTTATAATGAAAATCATACAATAAACTGTATTAATTAGTTTTTTCCTATGTAAATTGGTTATTTTATGATCAATAAAATCAATCAAACATTTATTGAATCAGTTTTCCTTCACAATCACATTAGACAAAAATTAAGCATGTTCAGTATTGGTCACATGAGTATAATAGAGCGGATACCATGTTATGACCTTGTATTCCAAGTTACCTATTCATGAATAAGTGGTAAATGGAGGTTGTGACAATGTTTTAGAAATATCTACTTTGCTGCGTTCAAAAGCCATAAATCATATTTGCAGAGGAGATATCATTTTNAAAAGTGACTTTGTATATTACTAATTAACCTTTCAGTTGAATTGTTTGTTCTTTATTATAAGAATTGACGTTCTCCTTGCATTTTAGAATGAACTCTTTTTCAACACAAGTGTCTTTTTTTATATATACATAGGTAACCTCTATCCAAACATCAACTTACTTTTTTTACTCCAATCTTTTTATTCTTTTTCAGTAATACTTTCACAGAACGTTTTTTACCCTCCTGAAATGTCAATATCATGTAAATTAAGGTTATGACTACTTTTGAATAAAACTGAAAAAACTGCTTAATTTGTTTTATTTTTACGTAACAAAAATGACTGCACAGTAAGAACTCAAAAATTAACATTTGTATCTCGTGCTGTCATCTAGACACCAATAGGAAAAACAATGGGCAACGACCCCATGGCTATTTAGCCGAAATTGAAATTTTCTGTTAAATTAACAATTTAGTTGACCCACTTGGGATCCTTCTAGGTTTCCAGGGTAGCTGGTTATTATTGTATGAGGAAAATACTAGGAATACAAATTGTTCATTTTAAAACATTTATTCGTGTCTCCAAATTATTATTTCATTCTTCCTTCTTTTTTTGGCAATATTTTTCAGAGATTTGAAATTCTTATTTAAATATTTTAATGTATAAAATAATCTTACTCTACTATATGTTAAAAGTTAAAATTCACGATACCCACAGAACACAGGTAACATATACGTCCTTACAAGATCAAATCCAACGTCTGAAATTTTACAATCAGTTGAGCAACTTACAAAATTAAATTTTACTAGTTTCATTGCTATTGAACACATTTCATTGGGAATTTTAAAGTTGTTATGTTGGATATACAAAATTACCAAAAATGACGTAATTTTCTTCTTAACGTGAATATCCTATACTACAGTTCGGTCACAGCATAGGTAACAATGAGCAATGTCACTTCGCTTGGCGGGAGAAGTTCGCACATATCCGTCGCGTTGATGAGTCCGCCATTTTGGGAAGTGACAGACTTTCTCATTCTGCTTTTAGCTTTGCTCTTGTTAGAACCAATTGTGAACTAATAATGAATCTCTGTACTGTTATTTCAGAGCATTTCAAAACGGAACTTTCGACACATTCGGTAACTTAAGGATGCCCAAAAATGAATTTGTTTATTTTATTTCTTCCTTGGAAGTAAACTTCTAAAGCAATTTTGAGAATTTTATTGTAGGAACAAATGTCATTGCAGGATTTTGTTGTTTGAACATTTCAATCATAACCATCCATGTGAAAATTTACCAATATCCCACCTTTTGAAGTTATATAGTAGAGTAAGATTATTTTATACATTAAAATATATAAATTTTACAATATAAAAAAAAATTATATGGATATAAAAATGAACAAAAAAAATAATTTCATTGATAAAGTTGTGTTAATTTTTCCAACAGTTTTTCTGTTGGGTGTCGATGCCGTAATCTTGTATGGGGGTTTCTTGTCACAGCATACTTTCTAATGATTTCTACATTGTCGTCTTTTCTAGCAAACTTCTGAGTAAGTGACGATAGTCTTTCCTCGATAGGGATAATACCAGTGAGTTGGTACAGCAGAGCGTTTAGAGGGTTGTGTTTGGGGTTATTGGGATGGCTTAATCTTGTTATTTTCCTTATAGCCGTTGTTTCAGATAATCTAATTGTTTGCAAGGCCCTTTGTTTGATATTGAGAAAAAGTGGGTACAAGTATTCAATAAGTGGACGACATATTAGTTTATATACTACATAATCAGCTTGCTGTTGATATGTTTGCACCTGCTCCCGGGTTTGTCAAACTTGTGAAATGTGCGGCTCTTGCAATCACTTTATTTTTTTGTTATTGACGTGGCTATTGAAATTTAGTCTGGAATCAAGCGTAACACCTAGGTAATTAACTGAGACTTAGATGGGTTTGGCTGGAGCCTCCATTTATTGAACCAGTTATTTGTTATTGTTGATAGATGTTCCAAATTGTTAATAACTTTGTCTAGCGTTTGATCATGCGCAATTAGGGCGGTATCATCTGCATACTGGATAATATATGCTTCATGCCTGAAGTGGTTGATATTCCCTTGTTGGTGATGATAAATAACAGTTATATAACAATGGTGAGAGTGGTGGACCCCGTGGAACTCCCTGCTCTGGGATAAATTTGTCTGAAAAACTACTCAGTATTTTAACTCTCAGTTTCCTGCCACTTAGCAGATTCTTAATTGTATGTACTAGATAGTTAGAACAACCTAGCTGATGCAGTTTGAATAAAAGACCCTTGTGCCAGATGCTATCGAATGCTTTGTTCATATCCAGAAAGATAGCTGTCGTTTTGTTGTTGTTCAGCTTGGTTGTTTCAATATTGTTCGTCAGAATCGTGAGAGAATGTATAGTAGATCTTCCTTGTCTAAATCCAAACTGGTAGTTTGGAATTGTATCATTGAACATTTGGAGTAAACGGTTTCGTAAAAAATTTTCAAAGTTTTTACCAATTACCAACTGTATGGAAGGAAGTGATCCTTGTTTGGTTTGGGAATTGTAATTATTGTGCTCATTTTCCAATTGTCAGGTATATAATGTGTTTCAAAGCATTTGGAGTAAACGGTTTCGTAAAAAATTTTCAAAGTTTTTACCAATTACCAACTGTCTGGAAGGAAGTGATCATCTAGGAAGGAGATTGTGAAGTGTATGCATTCATTTCAANAAATATTTTAGTTGGCTAGAGAATGTCCGAATATGCCCTCCATTAAATTTTCAAAGTGATCCGTTGTCTGGTTCACCAGAAACGTCTAATGTGCCATCCACCGTGAATCAGCCTGTATAACTGAACTAAGTGGTTTGTTTATGTTTTCACACACAACAGAATTCTCAAAAAAAATAAATAAAAAGGATACAAACAAGAAACTACTCAAAAGAAAAATACTTTATTCATAACAGTCTCATATGAATATCAAAAGCAAGATAACACATATTTGATGATTTATTTATTACAATTTTAAATAAAAAAGGAATTTACAACTAACAGAAATCTTACAAAACCCTGATCGTGACCGTTATACTTTCATAAATTAAATTTAAAACTCTCAATGTACATTTATCCGTAATTCTATAAATCACTTTCGAAAACATCATCAGAACCTATACAGCTGCGCTCAATGTGAATTCAAGCGTCCTTTTTGACGATATCAATGAGCTCGTTTACAGATCTACTCAGCAGATCTAGGTCCTCAATGGGCCCTGGAACCTTCTCTTTTTTCTCGTCCAAACTATTTTCGCTGCACGAAGTACTCTGCGTTTCCGAATCACTATCACTTTTGACCTTATTGTTCGTGTTTCCACCAGTCGTTTCTTGCACCTTTGAAGAACTCGCTTCGCTGGAAGCTTTCTCCTCGTTCTTCGTTGAACCTTCATCACATTTACCTGGAAGGAAATTAATTATAAACACCTGAATTAGACTTCAATCAGTTATTCAACAATGTAAAAATTATGTAAAATTGAATTATTGCAATGTTTTATAATTTTCTGAACTCGGATGCAGACAAGTGTTATACAATCTTTTTCATGATAAAAAACATGTATATTTGTGGTTATAACAATTAATGATTCAATTTTGAGTGGGGTCATCAAATTTACTTATCTATGTATGATTATGCATCATGAGCTTAGTTTGAGAGTGAATTGAATAACATTTCATTTTCTGCAAACAAAATGCCCTTATTTATATTTGAAAATGGTAAACTTTTGTCTTACCATACAATGAGGTATGAACATGACCATTTGTATTTGTTCCTCAATTCAATATTTCTGTTCATTCTGTAAAAAATCTGTTTCTTTATTGTCGAAGTTTCGGATGTTATACTTGTATTCTATATTCTGTAGTTACTAACCATGATATCAAAACAAATCAAAAAGTCAAAAATAAAACTCTCCAACACTTAGTATTAAAATCAATAAATGTCATATGAGGTATATATGGAAGGGTATTTTTTAGTGTGAAATAGATTGAGATGCTTTCTAATCAGAGATTATTTTTGCTAAATGTATCATATATAGGTTCTTGTATTTTACTCACTTGGCCAACCGTTTTGATGAAAATTGCACGTATTCTGATTTCTCTTGATTACCAATTGATTGATTGGTATTACAGCAAAGTACAATATCTTTAATAACATTGTCAGTTTTTATGGAAACTTCTTGGGAAGTATCCCCTGTAACCACTATTGAGGTATCTTCTGCATGCATGAACAACCTACCTTCTTTGATAAACTTAGGCAAGTCATTCATGTACAAAAGTAAAACGAGAGGCCCGAGTATACTTCCTTGTGGGGTCCTTAAATAAATTATTTCCCCTTCGAAAAGTTATGTCCCAATAGCTGTTTCGATTCAGTATGAACGAAATCAGCCAATCATTCACCCCGCCTCAAATACTCAATGCATCTAATTTCTTTCGTAAGATGTGTGAATTAAGAACATCAAAGGCACGGGATAATAATATTCCTAACATTTAATATTGAAAAAGTTAAAATCATGAAATTATAAAACAATAACAAAACTTAATAGGCGATCCGGGGCGACTTCCTTGATTCCAGTGGCGCATTTGCTTGTTTAGCTGCAGGAAAACCTGGAAAAACCTGTAGCACCATATCATCTGAAGACCTTGATATGCCAATGTCCTCTCTTTCATAAAACAAAATGTAGGGTGTGTTCAGAGGTTTCCAATAAATTCAATACATCGCCAGAACACTTAGTGATTATCCTAACATTTAATTATTCTGTTCAATGTTATCGTATATATAGTGTACCAGGTCTGATGTTGCGGTTTCTGTTAGTATTTAGAGAATCAAATACAATACTTTCGAAAACAGGAGATGATAGATCTTTGCAATTTCTTATGAGTTCCATCAGAATTTCATCCATACTAAATGATTTGGATTTTTCATTCGAATCTAACAACTTATTTTGGAAAATAGACAGAAAAATTTTATGTCTCCCAAATATTGGAAATGGAACCAGTTTTAAAGGAACTTGGATACCACAAAAGGACAAATTCAAGAGCGATTGCGGTAGCTTTGAACAGTAGTCTAAGTAAATTAATTAAAGGCATTTTTTATGTTCTTCATTTGAATAAATAGAAGTAGTGATAAAATTATGATTGGTGTAACAATAATGTGACGTAATCCCTAGAAAACATTACCTATGCTAAGTGGTCAGACACTTCTAATTGACATATTGTGCAGGATACGTTTGTAATATTGCTAACTATGTAATCAAGACTGCTGCTTGTAGTCCTACCACCATAAGCAGTTACTCAGGTTGGTGCACAGTATAGTAGAACCAAACTAAACATTACCAGAGTAACAAAAATCTAATGTTGAAATATCCTTAAAGTAATATGTACCTATATTCAATGATTGCTTACTTCAGAACTTCATTCAATTTATCCAAAAACAAATCAAGGTTCGCATAATGACACATATCATTTTTTTAGATCATGGATATTTTTACTTAAAAAATTCTGACTTGAGTAAGTATTTGTTCCTACAATAGCTGGAGGCTAGCTCATAACCTGCCATAGGTTAGGATTAGTTCAAAAGTGAGTGAGCCTATTTGACCCTCCAACGCAACCCGCAAGGGTTTATTGTGGCTCTCACCTATTCAAACTCGACCAAAACTTCTTGACAAAGCCAATTAGTTTATATGATGAGTGGTGAGGCACAAAGTATATGCTCTGCTGTTTCATCGTAACCTGCCATAAGTGTCACCTCAAATTTTTCTTCAGACATTCAATATTCAGACATACAGTTGTACGATGTACAGACATTTGAGTTTGAGGAGGTACTCTGCTGAGAAAGTTTATTGCAAGAAGTTGAACTGACGTCTTGCCTTGGAAGTTACCCAAAAATCGCTGATTTTGTTCGAGGTTGAAATACGAAAAATAAACATTTTTGGGCCAGATATTTCACTCATATACTACTTCTGTTTAAAAAAATCTGTTTGAAATTTGTTTTACCATTAACCAGCTATTGTCCCCATACGAACGACAACTCTCAAAAGTCGAAACTTGTGCGAGCTAAGGACTAACGAGGTCTTACCATTTAACGTGTGATTCCTAACGCGAATTGGACGATGGGAAGTGAAAACTGATCGTCGGGCCTTGCGGTTCGAACCAAAACAAACACAAAAACAGAAACAACCAAAACCAATCCCGAGGCTGGACAGAAGTGCTCACCTCAATCTAAGGCGGTGGCTGGGGATGAACAGAAATGTCCACCCCAATCTACCGCTTGGAATGAGGCAGAAGTGGCAGCAACAATAAGTGCACCCTCCTCCTCCCTCACTCCACCTCCAACAGCAAGGGCACTTCCACGAAGAGAACCCCAAGAAGGTTGAAAAAGCCGCTCAACGACAGTAATGCCGGTGCACCTTCCAAAACCTTCGCGGAGGCCACCGTGAGACACCTCAAGGTTGCCAAAGAGGTTGAGTGTTCGGCGAGTCTTGGCCTACAATATAAAGGAGATGTCTCCTAGTGACATCTCCTTTATATTGCTCTGCCGTGATTGACCTTCTTTCCCTAGCTACTGTGGGACCTTTATGGACAGAGTAAACTTAAAAATCCTTTCTGACGCTGAGTCTATAATGGAGATGGATGTCGAGCTTACGACTCCAACTGACCTCCCTGTAAACTTAGATCAGAAGCGAATCTACAGAAGAGATGGATGTCGAGTTTACGACTCCAATTGATCTTCCTGTAAACTTTAATCCAGGAGCGTTATTACAGAGGAGATGGATGTCGAGTTTACGACTCCAACTGACCTCTCTGTAAATTTAATTCAGGAGCGAGTCTCCAGAGGAGATGCATGTCGAGTTTACGACTCCAACGGTCCTCCTTGTAAATTTAGTTCAGGAGCGAGTCTACAGAGTAGATGGATGTTGAGTTTACGACTCCAACTGACCTTCCTGTAAATTTAGTTCATGAGCGAGTCTCCAGAGAAGATGGATATCGAGTTAACGACTCCAACGGACCTCCCTGTAAATTTAGTTGAGGAGCGAGCCTACAGAGGAGATGGATGTCGAGTTTATGACTCCAACTGACCTCCCTGTAAATTTAGTTCAAGAGCGAGCCTACAGAGGAGATGGATGTCGAGTTTACGACTCCAACTCAACTCATTTTTTTCAGCATCTTTCGAGTTTATCCCTATTAGTCCAGATTTGGTAAAACAACTAATTCTCAAAAAGAAGCCCAATACTGAAGGGCTCGACAAAATATCTAGTAAAATGCTCAATTGAGCATTGCCTTTTGCCCCTCACACTTACGATGGTGGTCTGAAAAGTTTCCGACCTCAACATGAAGATAGCAGCATTCATAAATAAAAGCTAGCGAATTTCGTTGTTCATCTGTTGACAGATTCTCAACCAAAGTTTCAGCCATTTTGGACGCGCAGTTGTTATGTAACACTTGTTTGAGTGAGTTGATATGTGTTTTTATGAAAATGGACAAAATCGACTATCAAGCTGTCAATATAAATTTGATTTTGAAGGGCAATACGCCTACACAAATCAAAGATGAGTTGGATTCTGTGTATGGGGACTCTGTAACATCATTTACCACAAACGCGGCCATAAGAGCTTGGGAGACGAGTTCAAAAACTGCAACCACCGTCGAAAACATCCGCCAAAGTTCACCAAATGGTTCTAGAAGACCGCCGAATTAAAATGAGAGTGATAGCAGAGTTTATGAACTTGTCAAAAGAAATGTTTGTAACATATTAAATCAACATTTAGGTATGAGGCTGTCCGCGCGTCGGGTGCCACGTTTCCTAAAGTTAGACCAAAAACGTGTTTGAATTAACATTTTCAACGCTCTGTTGGCACAGTTTAGCAGCAATTAATAAGAGTTTTGGCGACGATTACTTAGTTTAGATGAAACTTGGATACGCCATTATACACCCGAAACAAAAATTCAGTCCAAACAGTAGACTGTAAAAGAGGAACCGTCTCCAAAAAAAAACACACAAAAACTGTTTTTTGGCTGGATGTTATGGTGACTGTTTTTTAAGATAGTCATGAAGTTTCTTTAATTGATTATCTTCAAAAAGAAAAAACCATTACAGGAGCATACTACGCATCATTACTTGATAAGCCGAAGACAGAACTTGCCGAAAAACGTCCACATTCGCAGAAAAAAAAAATCCTGTTTCACTAAAACAACGCACCGTTCTCACACCTCAGCGGTTGCCATGGAAAAAATCCACGAATTTTGGTTTGAACTGCTTGACCATTCGCCTTACTACTACTAATAATAATATAATAATGATATCGTTCATTATGCATAAAAAATACATTTATACATAAAAGGAAAAGGGTTAGCCAAAGGCCATCTTCCACCCCTTCCAAAAATTATACAGTGAGTGTAAGAAAATAATTATAAAAATACTTATTTACTATCATAACAATGATAGAGAAGAGAAAAAAATAATAGATCATTGAGTTGCTAATAACTCTTAATATTCTTAATATATTAATATTCTCGTCAAGAGTAAATAGCCTCAGTGATCTTCGCACCATAAATCTGACATCTGTACTCCTCAAAATCGCTGAAGGAGCCATACTTTCCCAGCATATTCTACCTTCTAACCAGTCAGGCTTCCGTAAAGGTCTCCGCATTATGTGCTATGACTGATGATATCTTCGAAGGGCTAGACAACCAAAAAGTGGTATCTCTTACCCTATTCAATATGTCGAAGGCTTTTGATACTGTCAACCTATGACTGCCTAATCGCCAAACTCCATTACTATGGGTTCGATGGTCGAATTTCTGACTGGCTCAAAGCCTATCTCTTCAACCAATCATAATTGGTCAATGTAAATGACCACCTAACAGTACTCATTTCAGACACCCAAATTGTCAATAATGGTGTACCTCATGGTTCAGTACTGGCTACCACTCTGTTTGCTATTTTTACATCTAACTTGCAACAGTTAATGGAAGACTGTAATCTACATATGTTTGATATGCTGACAAAAATAAACAACGATCTTATAACCATAAAGAGGTGGACCGAGAAAAACTCCCTACTCCTAAACCCCACAAAATTCCAAAAAGTTCTTATTGGACCATCCTTCAACTTAAGCCACCTTGATGAGTTCCCTGTATATATTGACTACAAGTCCATTCCTTCTGAATGACTTGGTGTTATTTTTAACGAGCAGCTCAAATTCTCCAAACGATAAGGTGTTGTCGCAGAGAACCTACTTAAGCCTTAAAAAACTATTATCCTTCAAACGGGATCTGGACACTACCACTAAAAAAAATGCATTCTTTTTATAAAATCGCTTCTCCCCCAAGCACATATCGCCCCCATATTAGGAAATTACAAATTTTGAAACTAGATAAAACACGTTTTGTTGACTATGTTCGACTTGTCAAAAGATCTTGGCTACTGGACTACCCAAGTACCTTGCCTCAAAATTAGTTTGGAGGGAGGATATTCACAACAGGACAGTGAAAACATAAACTATAGATTTTTCTATTCCTTTCCATCCTTCTTCATTTTTCGATGCAACCTTTTCTTACTTATCTGCTAAATAATATGCCCTCAAGAGTATCGTAATTTACATGCATGTACTCTAAAAAAATTTCAACAAAACTATCCCGAATGGGCAGCTGAATTCAATACATTTTAATGCCTAGTTATTTTTATCATACATTTTTAACCTGTTTTTTGGGCTACGTTGATATCATTTTAAATGAACTTATTTTTGTTATTATATTATTATTATTCATTCTGGAGTTGACATTCCAATGATGCAATTGTATCTCTCACCATATTTCTGGTTTTTTGTTCATACATATTAAATTTCGTATAAAATACTTTACATCGATCAGACAGGTGGAAATCGTTACTAATTTCGATCTTTGACTGAGAATGCTCACCTTTTTTCACATCCAATTTGCTTATCTCTAATTTGATTTTGCTCTGCAGTGCCCTCAGCGTATTGAGCAGTAACGGAGGTGGAACCGCCTCCGGACTGTTATACACCAAAATCAAGGCCCTCAAGTCACCCGACAACCTCTTTGCCATTTTTGAAATGTCGAAAGATCCAACTTGTTCACTTAAAGAAACGACCGTGTTGTCGATCATCCTCAGTGTTTGTTCGGAAAGCACGTGAGCGGACACCTGAAATTGAATTTTTGAAAGTGTTTGTGGGTCAATCAAAACTGTATTTGAATATTCGTTTTGAAGAACACGTACCTTCGGGAAAAAAGCTGTTAAAAAATCGTATATGACGTCCACTGTTAATGCGGATCTCTCGTCCAAGAGAATGGCATCAACGTAATCCACAAAGTAATTGCAAGATGTTAGCATATTTATATACTTCCGGTCTATGTGCTGTAAAAAAAAAAAAACAATTTGGTATAGGTTATTTCAAACTTGATTCGAGTCCTACAAAGTGTCATCACATAAAAGGTCTGAAAGGGTAACAGTCCTAAAATTGAATACTTTCTTCTTTGAAGTTTTTATATCGTAGAATTCACTTGAGAATTTTAATAGCAACAAACCTGAGCTCTTGAAATGTCCAGCCACAATTTAGGAAAATAAGTGGAATGTAGGGGAACGGATTCGAAACCTACTACGGCGCTTAAATTAATCAGTACTTCAGGAACCGAATCATTATTTACAGCTAACCTAAACATCATGTCTATAAAATCGTGGTAAGGGTTGTAGAATTTATCCAACGCCATATCATACTCTGGATCAATTCCCTGAAATGAAAAAAAAAAGATTAAAAAAAAACACTTTTCCTACATCATCAAATGTGTATTTTGACGATGATGCTTTTAATTAATAGAACTGACCGATACTTGATGAAAATTAATATTAAAACTAATTAATATTCTATGATTTTCACTATAAAGGGTTTTACAAAAACCACGACACAGTTACTTCTAAGTAACTTTCAGTTTACGCTTGAGGAAACTATTGTATAGCAAAACACATGTCGCCGTTTTTGTAAAACCCTTTTTTTATGTTTTTACTGTATTGGAAGATTTAACTTTATTCTTTAATATTATCAGATTGTAAATTTTAATAAAAACTTTTTTAAATGATTGCATATTACTTTGAACTGTTTTGAAGTTGAAGTTCAGATAGATAGATATTTACAAAACGTGACAAAGCACTATGATAACCATAACTTGAAGAACATCATACATACAATGGTTGAGAGATAACCTTAAAGGTGAAAAATAAAATTTCAATTAGCAGTTTTATAATGTCATATTACTGGTTTGTTTTCATAAAAAAATTAATTCCTACATAGATCATTTTTTGAACTGATCCTACTAATGTTAACTCAGAAATGGCAAGAAAAACAAGGTTGGTCACAAGGTTGGTCGAATTTGACAAATTGGGGACGGAGGGGCAATGAAAATCTTTCTGCAGAACTTGACAATCAATGTCCGGTTTTGAAATATCCGCAAAAAATTAAATTATTTTCAATACAGTACTAGTAAACTTTCAAGAGATATGTATGTATGTCTTTATGTTATGTATACGAATAATATTGCCGTCTACTTTTTGAATACATCTCTGACAGGAATTAATTGTATGGTGCAACTCTGATGATGATTTTCCAAAAAAAATCAACGAAAAATACAAGTTGTGACATGCCTGAATTTGTAGTGATAGTGGCTACTAAAATTGATGTTAAAATTGAAAAAAAAAAAAGTTAATGACGGATTCCAACGAATGAAATGTCACATTGAAAATTATTTTAGTGAAAATTTAAGCTGTATTACTGCACAATCGAATTGATATCAACAATTGTTTGAAAATATGAAAGTTGAAAAAAATCATTACCCTACTGCATTCCAACTGATTGTGAGGCACCGTCATTTGGACCATGGGCCTGAGAGGACGGGCACCTCCTTTGCCTGCGACGATGGGTAAGGAATGACCCCTCCTAGGGAAATACGGCCCCAGGGGCACGGCATCTTGACTGTCTTGAAAGGCAGAGTGGCAGTGTGACAATAGCGGTACCAGCACTTGCATAGCCTCTGGTGTCATAATCACAATGAATTCTTTGAGTACATCTGAAACGATAGAAAGCACAAAACTGGTCAAGTCTTGAACTCATCAATGGATTTGTTATTTTCAGTCATGATCTCCTTTAAAGGTCGAGAACAGTTAAATATCCGTTATGATGATGAAGTAGAATAGAATAATAATAATTGTAATTTATTGAACAAAATTACAATTTCACTCAACTGGTCTTCGACCGAAGTCCTTCCACCTTTGTAACAAAATTGCTTTGAAATAACATAGCTTATGTTACAATATCAAAAAAAATTATATGGATATAAAAATGAAGGAACAAAATAATTTCATTGATAAAGTTGTGTTAATTTTTCCAACAGTTATGTTGGGTGTCGATGTCATACTCTTGTATGGGGGTTTCTTGTCACAGCATACTTTCTAATGATTTCTATATTGTTGTCTTTTCTAGCAAACTTCTGAGTAAGTGACGGTAGTCTTTCCTCGATAGGGATAATACCAGTGAGTTGGTACAGCAGAGCTTTGGAGGGTTGTGTTTGGGGTTATTGGGATGCCTTAATCTTGTTATTTTTCTTATAGGCGTTGTTTCAGATAATTTAATTGTTTGCAAGGCCCTTTGTTTGTATTCAATAAGTTGGCGACAGATTAGTTTATATGCTATATAATCAGCAAGCTGTTGATATGTTTGCACCTGCTCCCGGGTTTGTCAAACTTAAGAAATGTGCGGCTCTTGCAATCACTTCATTTTTTGTTATTGACGTGGCTGTTGAAATTTAGTCTGGAATCAAGCGTAACACCTAGGTAATTAACTGTCGATTTTGCATGTGAGATATGTTGGAAAACGTTGAATAAATATGATGAACTAAGACTTAGATGTGTTTGGCTGGAGCCTCCATTTATTGAACCAGTTATTGTTGATAGATGTTCCAAATTGTTAATAACTTTGTCTAGCGTTTGATCATGCGCATTTAGGACGATGTCATCTGCATACTGGAGAATATATGCTGCCTGAAGTGGCTGATATTCCCTTGTTGGTGATGATAAATACAGAGCTGTAAAGTTATATAACAATAGTGAGAGCGGTGGATCCTGTGGAACTCCCTGCTCTGGGATAAATTTGTCTGAAAAACTACTCAGTATTTTAACTCTCAGTTTCCTGCCACTTAGCAGATTCTAAATTGTGTGTACTAGATAGTTAGAACAACCCAGTTGATGTAGTTTGAATAAAAGACCCTTGTGCCAGATGCTATCGAATGCTTTGTTCATATCCAGAAAGATCGCTGGCGTTTTGTTGTTGTTCAGATTGGTTGTTTCAATGTTGTTCGTGAGAATCGTGAGAGGATGTATAGTAGATCTTCCTTGTCTAAATCCAAACTGGTAGTTTGGAATTGTATCATTAAGCATTTGGAGTAAACGGTTTCGTAAAAAATTTTCAAAGTTTTTACCAATTACCAACTGTCTGGAAGGAAGTGATCATCTAGGAAGGAGATTGTGAAGTGTATGCATTCATTTCAATGATTGTTTATGGCTGGAGGATTTGCTCGTCTGGCTTTTAGTCAGAGGTGTGTTTGGACTAGAGTACTTCCTTTGGTCCGGTTATGTAATTGATAACTGACCAGTCTCTGTATGATGTGGTCTTTGCTTCCACAAACAATGAGCAATGAATATTATTATTCTCAATGTAGTTGCAAATGATGTGTTTTCTGTATGAGTAGCTGTTTATGTTGCAATATAGCAGATTAATTATTTTGGACGTGAATATACTGGATATTATTGTTGACTGGTTCTGTTGGAGAGATGGGGCCTTCAGATCCAAGATCGAAGATAAGTATGTAAACACGGTGACCGGAAAAGACAGCTGTGGTATCTACATTGAAATTGTTTACAAATCTGTTTCTTAATTTTTGAATTAGTTCCTGTCTATTAGTGTTTATCGGGTTGTTCAGTTCATTGACATATGAGTTGATGATAAAATCATGAACTGCTAGGGCTTAGTGAATTCAGCAGTTTTTCTTCTCTTCTGGTATTTCACGCGATTTTTTGTTGATAGATTTAATTTGTATATTAGGTACCTCTGGAATCGGTGAGGTGGGTCTCATCGGGCATTTAAATGACCACGCTTGATATTCCTCGAAACCACATTCTGTACATTTCTGTGGTAAGATGGAGGTACACTGGTTCTCTGGATGTAAACCCTGGCATTTGGGACATTTTGGTTGGGTGTCACAGGTTTCTGTTGAATGAGAGAAGGAAAGGTATTTGTTACAAGGTTTTGGAGTTGGAGGGGGAGGTTTACTTGCATAAACTGAATAATATCGAAAATTGTAGTAGACTCGATCTTTCAGTAGGGTTTCAAATGTAGTGAGTGATCCATTGATAATTCTTATAAATGATGTTGGCAATCCGGTTTGTCTGGAGATGATTCTTCTGCAAAATCTGTTCTCAAGGTCGCTGTTATTCAGATGGTTGCTTTTGTTTTCTTCGCTGATTTCTCGTTCTATGCCACTTATAACAAAAGAGTAGCTTTTTGTTTGTGAGGCAGATTTGGGGGCTGTAGAATTAGGTTGAGTTTCTCTGAAATTGCTTATCTTCTTGAATAATACAAGTCTTTCAAGAGTATCTGTAACTATCTTCAAATCATTATTTGTTTTGAGAATGAATCCTTTTTGTGTTCTAATTATCCAATCGGTGACCTGAGGAAATAATTTTTCCCATTCTTGAATACCCTGTATCTGCAGCTAGAAAGAAAGTGTGCTGGCATTTTTATGGGTAATTTCTTTCATCAATGGTGAGAAGTTTTTTTTATTGTTGGTTTTTTTGGATTGGAATGAATTCTATTATCTATTGTTTTTGTGGAGGTTGAGGGATTAGAATTAGTACAGTTGGGTGAACCTAAAATAGTTCGTTGGATTTCTTCTGGATCTGGATGACTTCTTTGGAAGGTACTTTTCAGACGTCTTCTTGGTGTTCGTTTATGCATCACTTTCCTCCATTGTCCGTCATCCTGAATTTCCATTTCACTGTAATACTCCTCTGTTTCGGTATCCATAGTTAATTTCTATATAATCACATGTACTAAGTAGCAGGTGTTTTCTCTTTGACTGATAAATGTGAACTCAGTAAGTAGAAAAGAAATTATAAAAATTGCATTTTCACAATTTAATCTATATTATGTGGCATCTTCCTAGTAGAATGTGGTGTCGCGTAAATGTCTGTGTCGCGATAATACCCCTCACTATTTTTGACAGTTAAACTAGGTTAGAATGAGATAACCTGTTTCTGAGAAGTTGTTTTTTCATTTCTACTTATGAGGGTTCTTTTATCCATAATTTTCAAGTTTTTCTAGTATAATAGTGTTATTGGGGCTGTAGGAAGCTATACACCTTTAAATAAATTATTATAATTTCTTGCATTTATTTTTTCTATGACGTTGTAGACTGCAGTCTCAATAGATTCTTCTATCAAGTACTGATGCTTTCGGGAAACTTTGACATATACTACAATATTTTATAAGCTAATGTGCCCAATTAAAAAGTTGAATGACTTCTCCGGTTGACTATACTGGAAAATCTAACTTGCAGCATAATCAAAAGAGAAACTTACCTATACACAGAGCCCTCATTTCGGGGGGATTATACGTATTGAGTAAAGTCGCCAATTTTCTAAGAACCTCAAGCCAGTCTTTCGTTGCAAGCAGAATGCCTCGAGCATCTTTGTTATCTCTGTATGATCTAATGCACTGCATTAGGTCCTGCATTATCGTCAAAATGTCCAACATGTCGCCGACGACGTGACAAGCAGTCGCTTCGTGTAGCATGACGTGGAGATTCTGGAAACTCTGTACAAAAAAAATTACATTTATAATTTTTTTGATTTATCGTTTGATGACCGTGAATGAATTCAAAAATAGGATGTTTTCCCTAGATTTTTTCTCTGTCAATTTATTGAAAATATATAAACAATTTGAAATCGTGATTATTCTTTCTTTTGTTAGAAGACGATTTATTAGTAGGTCACCCTAACATACAAAAATTAATATCTGTGGATTATACATATATAATTCAGACATTTACTGCTTATATTTAAAATGTGTTCTCTTAAATATTACAGGTGATTTTGATGTTTCAATTTCCACTGTAAATTCTTCTTTAAGTCCCCTGTAGAATAATAACTTCATTTAACTTGTAAGATTATATTTGGATGAATAGAAATTTCTACTGTTATCATTTCCAATGTCATTTTGTGAACCTATTACACATACCTCTGTTTTGTAATTTTTGCAGTGCTGAAATTCTATTCAACAATCATTATTCTGGCTTGGAGATATTCTTGAAAAAAAAAAAGTTTTCTCTGAAATTGAATGGAACTGATAATGGTAATTGTTAAATAGAAATGGTCGATACTTGATGAAAGTCCATATCAAAACTTATTACTGTAAAATATTCGCTATAAAAGGTTCACAAAACAGAGGCACGTGTTTGGCAATATAAGAAGGAATGATGCATTGTATAGCAAAATAAGTGTACCTATTTTGTAAACCTTTTATAGTGAACTATATTAGTGAGTTATGTTATAGTTTTCTCTGTATTGATCAATCTTCAATTAAGTCAATTATATCATAATTTTTATTTGCCAATGTTTAAGTTTATGTATTTGTAACTTTTTTTACATCTGTTTTGTAAGATATTCACTATAGAGATTTACAAAACCGTGATATGCATATAAGAGCTTTCTCAAGCAGAAACGTTGTATTGTATAGGAAGATATGCAAAGATATTCTTGAAAAAATCAGTAAGTTATGTTATAGTTCTTTCTGATATTTTTGCTTACATAATCAAAGGAAACCTGGAGCGATACTGTATTATTTACACTTCCCCAATCATCAGTTACACCATTTTGATATTGAAAGTGGTATCTTTTCTTCGAATTGGTACTACAAAGCAAAATATATTTATTCAACAGGCAACAGTGCATGTCATTGTATTCGTCTGTTATTTGTATATGCATAATGTCAGTTATAATGGAACTAGCTTTATGGATTTTCGATTGATTATTTGGAACTAATAGTGACTTTGTGAATGTGTTTTTTATATTATTATAATGATAACTTGAAAGAATTAGTCAAAGCTCAGTCAGATAATGTCCCAGAGGTAGATGCAGTTTTTTCCAAATGATGCAAAAATGCGGTAAGTCAAAGCCAAAAGGTTAAAAATTCTGATATAACATATAGCAATTTCTTGATAGCATAATGAAATTCTTGGATTCATATTATTCCTGATATGAAAGATTGAGGTTTTAATAAACTAATGAATAGATAACGTTTCAGGAACGATATTACATTCAGTGGACAAAGTAGAAAACTAATAATGACATTTCGTTATATTCTCTGCAATTTTACCTACAATGAAATAGTCTTCACACAAGAAAAAAGTGGTCTTCAATAAAAACTCTTCAGATTCATATCAAATGGAACTTTTATAAAGCTTTTTTTTTACGTAGACACAGTGGTGTTTTTGCAATATGGCGCCATATATTTGTAAACCGTTTCTTCAGAAACTGTAAAGTGCACAACTTAAATTTTATTCAATATCTAATGACAAAAATAAAATGTTCAGGCTACACCGTTACTGTGCAGCCTGAATAGAAACATACTTATTCATTTGTTAAAGCAGTACATAATATGTTACAACAGCTGATTAACGGAAAAACATATTTTTTTTTAAACGTGGTACTACACAGATGTACCTACTTTATTAGACTAGTCATACATACAGTTCCAAATTAGTAATAGGTATTAAACACATCAATTTACATTTAACAACACATTTAAAATATTGATATATTGAAAGTTATGTACGTTTAAAATGTAAACAGGATAATTTTTCAACTCTGCAGAAACTCTTCCACACAATAAAATGCGTTTCTTATCAAAATAAGATCAATATAAATCAATATAAAAGGGATTTAAAGCATTTCGTGCCTTCAACATTTATTTCATCAACCAGTTTGTTTTTTATGTGGTTATAAAATAAGATGCATTTATGCATATGGGAATTTTGGCCTATGATTAGCCTTGAGAATGTTTCATATAAGTTATTGCTCCTCTCGTCACAAAAGAATAATACAACCAGTAGGCTCTCTTACCACGTGACATGACCGCTCTTAGGATGAGATTCTCATACAACGCGTTCAGTGCTGTAGTATCGAAGGATTTGATGGTACCACGGACATCGGATTATTTATAATAAACGGTCGGAAATTGATATTGTGTTTAGTTTATTCGCTGTTGTTATTATTGTTATTAGTTTTTGTAGTTGGTTATAAGTAATTTACCACAAAATATTCTATAATAACCTTAAATTTCGTTTTTATATGAGCGCACGCCTATAAAGAACGAAATTGGCTCCACACTTCGTTTCGAGGTCACCGAGAACTTTGTGAATTCATGAATGAAAGTAGTGGGAGTGGACTTACTGGTTAATTTTACTATGCTATGTAATTATGATAAGAGCTGTTTTTAGGTAACTCCTGTAATTGTTTTTTTACGTTTAAAGTACTGTTAGGATATATAATTCTACAAATATTTGGTCAATATGACTTGAATCTCCTCAGAATATCAAGCCATACGACATATTCGACTGTACCAGACCACAGCAAAACAACATTAATATACCGGGCCCTTCAGTTTCCTCAGTTAAAAGCAATTTTTACTCAGTTTATTATTTACTATTTTATTATGACTTTCCCAGCTCACTTTGTGATCAAGAGTGACACCTAACAATTCAGTTGTTGTGACTATTTCACTATTAACACATAAACCACTGGTAGTACACCACTAATAAAATTGTTGTGCGACATTATTGGCAGTGTGTACTGTTTTGTCTAGATTTCCATCAGATATTTTCATTGTTGTGTTATCTGTATAAATAATATTTTTTGCATGAATGCATGATGAATGAATGTCATTGACAAAGATAGTGAATAGTATTGGACCTAGTATTGATCTTTGGGGTACCCTGACATTGACAATTATTTCTTAGGATTTAGCATTTTTCAACATGATTATTTGTTATTTGTTTTGCGATGTTTGAGATATGATATTATCCAATTTAATGATGGTACTCTAACAACGATGTCGTACTGTGTCAAATGCTTTACTTAAATCAAAGAAGAGAGTGATTGAAGCAAAATTAAAAAAGGTTCACGTTAAGAAGAGAATGACGTCATTTTTGGTAATTTTGAATATCCACCATAACAACGTTGAAATTCCCACTGAAATGCGTTCAATAGCAATGAAACTAGTAGAATTTCATTTTGTAAGTTGCTCAACTGATAATAAAATTTCAGAAGTTGCCGAATCGAAAATACTTTTCTCAAACCACAATCGGTGGATTTAGTTGCAAAGTAAATGAGATTGTAGTACCCACCTTGGTTTAGTGAAGATACTATGAAAGAAATCAAAACGAAGCATAGAATTTTCAAAAAACTGAAAACATCAAACTCACAACAATTTAAAAGAACAATATATAGACAGAGCCGAAAAATCTATCAAAACTGATCCCTGATTACACAAAGTAAAAAAAGGACTTATATTATTCCTAGAATACTTTATGTGGATGACAGAGAATGTAAAAACCCTTCAAGTATTCTAAATGCATTTTCAGATTATTTTAGCATTGTTTATACTACCCCAATTGATAATATTGCCATTGATGAGAATACAACACTATCAAATACACCAACTAACTCACTTGGGAAATTAAGTGAAGACGACGTTCAGATTGCTCTGAAAGAACTTTAACCCAAACAAACCTGTGACTATGATAATATCCCTAGCTTTTTTGTGAAATATTGTGCCTGTGTATTTGCCAAGCCCCTCCAAATAATGTATATAACAGAGCATTGAATACTTGTACATTTTCCGACGTTTGGAAAAACTCAAAAATTTACCCAATATTTAAATCTGGAGCTATCAATCAAATGAGAAATTATCGTCCTAACACATTATTGTCAAACTTTGCAAAAGCTTTTGAAACCTCAATATACGAGGTTCAGCTATTAAATAACGAAACTGCGCGCCTAGGGGACGCCCTAGAGGGGTGGTGAAAAAACGAGTAGTGCGTTGGATATCTGGCAATATTTTCTATTCACGTACCAAAACATGTTTTCATCACTATTATAATATTTGTGCAGTAGCGGTTTGAAACTAACGTGTTTTTTTCTCGTACCGAAAACCATGTGTGACGAAAAACAGGAGCAACGTATCAATCTCAAATTTCTCGGTAAATTGAAAAAACTCCGAGTGCAATAAATTGTTGCAAGAGGCCCATGGGGACAATTCTCTACCTCGTGTCCATTGCCTTGAATTTTGATGTCCAAATCAAAATTCAAGGCAATGTTGATCGTTTTTTTCGACATTAACGGTATTGTGATGACTGAATGGGTTCCAGAGGGTCAGACTGTCAACCAGACTTACTATTTGTCAGTTTTGGCAACACTGCGAGAACGAGTTCATGAGAAACGGTGCGAGTTGTGGAAGAACAACTCGTGGATTTTGCACCAGGACAACACACTTGCCCATAACGCGCTATCTATGAAGCGGTATTTGGCCGATAAACGCACTCCAGTGTTCGAACACGCGCCGTACTCGCCAGATTTGGCACCGTGAGACTTTTTTGTTCCCGAAGATAAAATCTGCTTTGAAAGGGATCCGATTTGAGTCGATGGAAGTGGTAAAGCAAAAAACGGCTAAAGGCCCTCACCAAAGAAGTCTTCCACCACTGCTGCGATCAATGGAAAAAACGTATCAAAAGGTGTGTGGCGAGGGGAGGGAAGTATATTGAAGGGGAGCATTCGAATGTAGAATAATTTTTCTAATAAAACCCTTTTTGAAACCAGTCTCGTTATTTAATAGCCAGACCTCCTATAACGGAGTATTTCTCAATGTGAAAAATAAAATACAATTTGAGCAACACGGCTTTATATCTAAGGATCAACCATCACCAATCTGATGTACTTCACACAAACTATCAGTAATGTTATTGATAATCAGACTCAAGTAGATACCATATATAAAGATTTTTCAAAAACTGTAAACAAATTGGACTGTAAAATACTGATATCTGAATTAAATAATCTTGGCTTTGATATGGACCTACTAAACTTCTTTCAATCATACCTTAGTAATCGGTCACAATATGCTGAGTACCGTGGTCATAAATCTAAAACTTTCATTTCAACCAGTGGAGCACCACAGGAAAGCAATTTAGCCCCTCTTCTCTTTTCATTATTTGTGAATGACATAGGTAAAATATAACGAGTAGCATTATTTTATCTGCTGATGACTTGAAATTGTTTAAAGTCATTGAATCTCAAAGAGACTTTAAATTACTCCACGAGGATATTAACTGTTTAGCTTCTTGTTGTGAAACAAATAAATTACCCCTAAATATACAGAAATGTCATTACACTACTTATACTTTGAATATCAAACCAGTGGAATACACTTACTCAAATCAAATTATTTTGAATCGGTGTGATGTAACAAAAGATCTTGTAAATAATAAGAGGAAGATTAAACTCTTGAAGATGATCACTTGGTGATCGAAACACGTGTCAAGGTGTTAAAATAACGGTTTGGTGTTGGGATAAAACTCCAGTAATATTCGTTTTGCTTTTCAATTATTCTGTGGTCATAACACCATTTTTATGTATTTGTGGACCTGTGATCCACAGAAACAATATTATTGGTTAGCAACTTTCAGAAATAATATGGATTTACTGAAAGTACCTATTATCGTAAAAATAGAAACTTGCAAGGAACTATGATTTTTGCGAAAATAAAATCTAAGCCAACTAATCATCGATTCACTTCATATTCGATACTGCCACTTACCTCGAAAACAATCTGCAAGCCCCCATTATAAACTACATACAGTTTATCATCATTCGTTTCCAATAGAATCCTAAAAGCTGATATCAAAGTGCCCCAGCTGGTCCTGCCATCAAGACACTGAAAAGAAAACAATAAATTGGAATAATGAAAACACCAAGAGTTTGGGTATATATAGTACCTGCAAGTAGGTCATTAGAGTATTTTTCCTAAAACTGTAGATTTCTCTCTGCTCCGTTTCCGTAGCATCCGGATGTTTCATTACCATCAGCTGCATTAATTTGAATAACTCTTCCACAGCCTTTAAATAAAGAAAATAATAAGAGTACTACAAGGTATTTAAAATAAGTATTATGTTGATTGATGTACAAGAATAAGAACATTTTTTGAATTGCACTTTTTACTGACTCTCTATTGAAAACCAACCTGTGGGTATTGTGTAGGGTGTGGAGTGATGTTTTTGAAAGCCCACTGCAGATTCTGGTGCTGGGCCAGATTTCTAGTAAACACCCTCGATTGTTGGCACATCATCCTCAGTAAACCGTAGTAGGCGGGTAACATGGCACGATTATACATCACTATCTCTTGATCATCGTGATCTGCTCTAAAACAAAATCATTAGTTTTCGAATTGACAGACATGATGATTATAACGCAAACTAAATTCATCAAGTATATATCATTTAAAAAAGGTTTCACTTTTAGCACTTATTATTATGTTGAAAAATTGTCACAAATGAATGACTTAGACATTTCAATTATTGCTCCGTTTTCCAATGTTCAGTTGCATTGTTTTTTAAACTCTCATTGTTTTTTAAAAATGTGTCTTTTTTATCCACACTATTTCCTAGAGATTGTATGTTTTGATGTATAACACTTATTTTCATGTGCTGTTTATTTGATAGTCATATTTATTTACATAAAATTTGATGGGGAGTCTTGCTGATTATAAGAGTTGTACTTGGCGAAATCAAAACGTCCTAAGCCAACCCCTCTGGGCCAGAAGCTTAGGACATATATCTGATCCTTGTTGGACAACTTTACGCCGACCATGAAGCATTTTTTTGCGGGATTTGTGATGGTAACTCCTTCACTACATAATCTTCATCTTCTCCTCACTTCTCCTTCAGGTAGCTCTTTATGTGAGTTGTTTCGACTTCAGGCAGGTATAAGTACATCCATGCTTTAGGTAAAGTTCCTTTGATATCATGGGTATTAGTTTCTTCTCCTTGTCCAATCGTTTTATTTGGTGGAAGTCTTTGGTTTTGTTTCTGCTTTCTTGTCTGTACTCTTTCAAAATCATCAGTATTCATATTTTCATTGTGTGATACGTGGTTTGGAGGTTCCTGTGACTCATCCTTGTTTATTTGTTTATTTTCCGACGAATCTCGATTTGCCTTGATGTTTTGTTGATCTTTTTTTGTAGTGCTAGTCCGTCCTTTGCTTACTGTTGTTGTTTTTGCCTGCTGTGCGTTTTTGTCCGGATTTGTGTTCTCCGCCGAGGTATATTTTTTTATTTCATTGAGCAGATTATTCACTTTGTATTCTAGCAGTTTTTTGTTTACCATTAGAATTGACAGCTGACGGTAAATAGAGGCATACTGTTATTATTTGAACGGATAAACATTGTACAACAATTTGTGAAATACAGTTTTATTCAAAAAGTGAAATCAATTTTCTTTAATTTACTACATTGTCACTTATCTATATCTATGAACCAACGAAAAAAGTAACACAACTGATAAATCCGTAACAAACAGATACTACACTTTGATCTTAGCTAAGAGACAAAACTGCAATATTCTTCTCGACTTGCCTTTCATCAACCAAGTTGGTGTCATCAGTATATCATTATAGATTCACAATGTTTTACTAAATATTGTGATTCTATAATTCAACCATTGAAAAATTATTTCAATTAGTTTAAAAAAATAGCATCGAACTTTGGTTATCCGGACTTGGTAGTCGTGGTTCCATGGAGAGATTAACTCTGAACATTTCACCCATAACTATGATGAGCATCTCCAGCGGTGGTTGGCAGCAATGCATTGTCGGTAACCTTGTGAATGAAGGGCAGGTAAGATGAACCAAGGATGGGGACCTGGGTGTGCATTTGCATGTTTGGTTTCTTCAGCCTAGATGATCTGATAAAGAAATCCAACAAGCAAACGTGCACTCTTACTTACCTGCCCTATGTATTCACAAGGTTACTGACAGGATAGGAAAAATTACTCCAGGTGAAAACGATTTTCAACCCAACTCGAAAACTGTCTGCGTGCCTCTGCTCGTCCAAAGATTGTAAAGACTGGGTTCTGTTCTCCTGCAGGTCGGTGTATGTCGGTACCATTCTAAAGAGTGTAAGAACCTGACAGTTGGAAAAATTTGCAGCCGCAGAACAGACTATAAGACCAAGAGATACAATTTAAAAAAATAGACATGCTTCACACCACCCACAACTATTAAACGCATCTAAACCATGAAGCCATAGAAATTTATAAACACCGGAACAACTTCAAGAGAAAATTAGAAATCACGAAGATCAACAAAATATGGTATCCAACTCTTCGCCGATGCCCCTTCAAACCCGACAATGCCCGAGCCGATCAGGAGAGTCCTCCCCACCACTCTCTATCAATAAATGTCAATGACAAACTTCATAGGGTCTCATTAACGAGTCTACCAATGAAGAGGTCACAATGCATTGCTGCCTACCACCGATGAAGATGCCCATCTTAGTTATGGATGAAATGTTAGGAATTAATCTCTCCATTGGGCCACAGCTGACCGTGAAAGTTTGAAATTTCTGTTACAGCATTTGTAAATAATGTTGATGGATGTAATTGTTACTTCGTGGTGGGAGAACATCATGAAAAAAAAAGAAATGAAACTTTGTATGTTTTTTTTGGAATCTGTATTTGTAACTAACGTTACTGCAGTTTCGTCCTGTAAGGACATTTTCAAATGTATATATTGTATANATTTGGTGAAGGACGGCTTGGGCTTCAGAGGTAAGTTGCGGCTCTCGATTGGATCGGTGCGTCGCGCGAAAGCCTTGACGGAAGGCGGTGCTCGGAACGAGCGAGACTAGAAGATAACCAGCAGCTGAAAATTAAAGACGTGTGAAAACTACTATGATCATGAACTCAAGAAGTACTTTTAATTTTAATTAAAACAGTTTTATAGGTTGAATGATGAAACTTACTTATTGCATAATAAACAGTTTGACTCTCCAGTCGATTAATGTTGCAAAGAATATTAAAGAAGAATAAAAAGAAAATGTGGCAGTATGAAGATGAAGTTTATTTCATCTTGGCGTCTGAAGACGCCAACTTGGTTGGCGAAACGCGCGATTAGAGTATTGCAGTTTTGGTGTTTGGGAAAAGTGATTTGTTTTGGATAAAAAACAGAAACAAAAACTAGTTTTCAAGTTATACCTAGATCATATTTTTCATCAACTTTTTGGATTTGTGTATCTTCTAAATGATGAGTAAAACCTATAGTTGATGTGTTTCGAGAAAAAGTAATCGCTCAGCGTTTTCTTCTATTTAACAATAGCTCATTTTCGTTACAAAAATGATAAAACGGATCAAACTCATTAATACAGTTTACTGTATGATTTTCACTATAAAGGGTTTTACAAAAACCGCGTATTATTAACCCTTGAGAAAGCTATTGTATAGCGAAATACGTATCACGGTTTTGTAAAACACTTTAAAGTGAAAATCATACAATAAACTGTATTAATGAGTTTTTTAGAACAAAAGTTGATTAGAGAAGGCCAGAAATCATTCTGAATATCTTCAGGACGTCTGCAAATAATAAGAAAGAATTGAAGATGGATTGAATGTCAGTGATGAATAAATTTAAAAAAAAAAAACAGTATATGATAGTTGAAGATTTCCAGACGTGACTATACCTGTTGAAATTGAACTTTCGATTTTGACAATTTGAGTATGATTTGACAAATAGCTCTGAAACAAATTTAAAAGATTTCCTATGATTCTATAAGCTTGGAGCATGGCAATCAGAAGCCTGAAATTTGTATTTTGAAATATAAATGAATAAACTAGAAACCTATATAGAATCAACACTCAATTTGTTATCTAAGGCTCAAGTGATATAACTTCGGATAGTTACTGATGATTTATTCTCATTGAAACCATGCTTATCACGAATGTATATGACTAAGCCGATTTTATCATTTATTTATCTGATCAATATCGTATACTGTTGGGGAGAGTGGTGTGATGACTGCTGCATAGGACTTTCCGAATAATTTTTTAGTTTTTAGTACATTATCTACATCATTATCTTTTTTGACATGTCTCATTGTTTTTTAAATATGTGTCTATTTTATCTATACTATTTCCTAGAGATTGTATGTTTTGATGTATAACACTTATTTTCATGGGTAGTTTATTTGATATGTCATATTTATTTACATAAAATTTGATGGGGAGTCTTGCTGATTATAAAAGTTGTACTTGGCGAACCAAAACGTCTAAAGCCAACCCCTCTGGGCCAGAAGCTTGGGACATATATTTGATCCTTGTTGGACAACTTTACGTCGACCATGAAGCATTTTTTTGCGGGATTTGTGATGGTAACTCCTTCATTACATAATCTTCATCTTCTCCTAACTTCTCCTTCAGGTAGCTCTTTATGAGAGTTGTTTCGACTTCGGGCAACACCCTGTATAAGTACATCTATACTTTAGGTAGAGCTCCTTTGAAACTATGGGTATTAGTTTCTTCTCCTTGTCCAATCGTTATATTTGGTGGTAGTCTTTGGTTTCGTTTCTGCTTTCTTGTCTGTACTCTTTCAAAATCATCAGTATTCATGTTTTCATTTTGTGATACGTTGTCTGGAGGTTCCTGTGACTCATCCTTGTTCATTTGTTTATTTTCCGATAAATCTAGATTTGCCTTGATGTTTAGTTGATCTTTTTTGGTAGTGTTAGTCCGTCCATTGCTTACTGTTGTTGTTTTTGCCTGCTGTGCGTTTTTGTCTGGATTTGTGTTCTCCGCCGAGGTATATTTTTTAATTTCATTGAGCAGATTATTCACTTTGTATTCTAGCAGTTTTTTGTTTACCATTAGAATGACAAATTTCTTCTTCTTGTTCTAATGTTATTTTATTTAGTAATTCATATTCTCTTTTGAATCTTGTACCTTTGTTTCTGTATTTGAGTTTTCTTCACTACCATTCAGCACTAAATATTCCTTAATGTTATACTGATCTGTGTTCCTTTCGTTACAGCAGATAATCCGAGTTTCATCTATCGTTTGATACTCTTTTCTTTCTAGACAGCTTCTATCAAACACCTTTCCACATTTCACACACACTGACAGAGAAATGGTTTTATTTTCGCAGCATTCAAATGCTTTATTTTTATTTTTCTCTGGAAGGTCAACATTCACGTGATTGTCACTGGCCGCCATCGTATATATAGTATAAATAGGGTCAGCCCTGCAAGTTTTTCCAGTTTAATCTTCCTCTTGAAGATGATCACTTGGTGATCGAAACACGTGTCGAGGTGTTAAAAACAACAATTTGGTGTTGGGAAAAAACTCCAGTAATATTCATTACTACACCAAAGATTCCAAGTACATTTCTCATGGAAAAAATGTAGCAACCAAAATGGTGACTATGTAGAGAAATAGATGAAGGTTTCCTTTGAAAAATGAATTTAATTACAAATTAATCATTTAGACAAATTACCAACAATTTTATATACGTTTTCATATAGATTTTGAAAGAAGTGAGCACTTACAAAATATAGTTGAATGCAATGTTCTTCGTAACGTGGGCGTTCTGTAGCATCAACTGCACATTCTCCGGACAATCCGTACAGACGTGATTCCAAAATGCCAATAAAGTTTGCTTATTGTGGTAGGCAGGTATCGAAGGTTCAGAAAGTTTAGGATGAAACAGATGCCAGAGCTGAATGAAATATTGTCCAAACTATAAAAAACGAGTATTAGTCATCAGAATGTTGTTTTGGTAAAAATTATTTGTTTCAAAAAAGGGGCGCCCAACGCGGGGCAAGACGATGAAACAAACCTTACCATCAATTTCTCAGTCCTGGATATGCAACAATACATCATCAGAGCGAAATAAGTAGTTAGTTTCATGGTACCGTGCTGTTGCATATCAGTATAATGTTTGGCGCCTGAAAGTAACCTTAGTAAAGCTGTATATATTTGGTGAAGGACGGCTTGGGCTTCAGAGGTAAGTTGCGGCTCTCGATTGGATCGGTGCGTCGCGCGAAAGCCTTGACGGAAGGCGGTGCTCGGAACGAGCGAGACTAGAAGATAACCAGCAGCTGAAAATTAAAGACGTGTGAAAACTACTATGATCATGAACTCAAGAAGTATTTTTAATTTTAATTAAAACAGTTTTATAGGTTGAATGATGAAACTTACTTATTGCATAATAAACAGTTTGACTCTCCAGTCGATTAATGTTGCAAAGAATATTAAAGAAGAATAAAAAGAAAATTTGGCAGTATGAAGATGAAGTTTATTTCATCTTGGCGTCTGAAGACGCCAACTTGGTTGGCGAAACGCGCGATTAGAGTATTGCAGTTTTGGTGTTTGGGAAAAGTGATTTGTTTTGGATAAAAAACAGAAACAAAAACTAGTTTTCAAGTTATACCTAGATCATATTTCTCATCAACTTTTTGGATTAGTGTATCTTCTAAATGATGAGTAAAACCTATAGTTCATGTGTTTCGAGAAAAAGTAATCGCTCAGCGTTTTCTTCTATTTAACAATAGCTCATTTTCGTTACAAAAATGATAAAACGGATCAAACTCATTAATACAGTTTACTGTATGATTTTCACTATAAAAGGTTTTACAAAAACCGCGTATTATTAACCCTTGAGAAAGCTATTGTATAGCGAAACACGTATCACGGTTTTGTAAAACACTTTAAAGTGAAAATCATACAATAAACTGTATTAATGAGTTTTTTTAGAACAATAGTTGATTAATACAGTTTACTGTATGATTTTCACTATAAAGGGTTTTACAAAAACCGCGTATTATTAACCCTTGAGAAAGCTATTGTATAGCGAAATACGTATCAC